CGAAGGGGGGAGAGAGAGAGAGAGAGAGAGAGAGAGTTTGAATTCAAATGTCATCAACTTGAATTTCCTGCTGACATCATGACTGTGTCACTAATAATTAACAACTACATGTTATTTAACTTTGGACTAAGTATCACTAATGTGACAGGGACCCCACTGTATACATAAGCAGAACATTAGTTCTGATTTTGGCCCATTGGGTTCCTAATCTAAGCAATTGAGATGTGGTCTGCAAAGCGAATTCCCACTAAAAGGTCTGGAACACTATCACCATGGAGCAGGGTTTGCAAATGACTGAGAAAGTAGCCCGCCAGATGGATGCTGCTGTCCTTAATCCCTTCAGGCAGGTGATTCAGCCCATTCACTGAGCCAAGGCTCAGAAAAGGTCAGGGATTTATTTGCAATTTCTGTATCCTTATAATCCCCAGAAATAATCTCTCATTAAATATCTACTAGGTTTGCATCATTCCCTTAATTTGACTGGCAATGAGTTGATGTAGGATCTGTGGCTCCCAGGATCAGCATCCTATGATGCAGTTTAAACTTGGCTTCTCATCCTCACTCAACCTCAAGTTCCCTGGACCCAGGTTTACATCAGCAGCTAACACCGATGTATTTTAATTAATGCTGGCAGACTACACAAGGAAGACACAGACTGACCTCCCAAGTTACAAAGGTGCTGCCATCCAAACTTTCATCACAACTTTTGAAGCCTTGTTTCTGTCTCTCCATTTGAGAGAATGGAAAGAGCCAGAGTCACACAACTCCACTTTGCAGAAGCACTGTGAGAATATGTGAAAACAGGAGAGGTAGACACATGCTCAGTCAGCTTGGTGCATTTCAGGACAAACCCAAAAGGGTACCTGACAATGATGAGGGTTTGGGTTGACAATATGAACTCTGGGAGGAGGAGGTAGGTGAATCAGAATTGTTATACTATAGTGGGACAATAAGAACCCTGCCAGGTAAGGTACAATCAATCCCTTTTCTTGCCTAAAAGGTGTAAACTGGTGGTCCAGATAGAAAGGCACAGTCCTAATATAACTACCACTGTTGTAGTGTGAAGTAAAAAATAAATTAAAACACCCCACTGATGTAAGCTTCTGGTACCTCACCTGAGATAACTTTTTCTCATCTTTAAAAAACTGTGTAGGTGTCAGTGGTGGTGGTGGCATGTGTATGTGACAACTCTAACAAAACATGAGCATCTGCCTTCCTTTCCACCACTCTTGCATAGCAAAAAAAAAAAAAAAAATAAAAAATAAAAAAACACCAACTTTCCATTGTTCTCTCTTAATATTTCTCAATGTTGTCTAGCTCCCCCCATCACCATTGTCTTGCTTCTGATACAAGGAAAAGGAATGCTAGGGTTAAAACACTGAGTAAATTAAGAGGGCTTGCCAAGAAATGTGAGACACCCAAGCTGGCCTGATAAAAGGAAGTGCACAGACAGGGGAAAAAACAAAGGTGGCCTCAGCAGCAATCCCCCCGCCCAGTGTCCTCTGAAAGAACCTTAGAGGAGCATCTGCAAGGTACTTTTCCCCTAGAAAGCTCCCCAACTTTGAGGAGTTACATCTTTAAACACATTCTAACATCGAATAAATCTAACTACTAGGATGAACTGTGGGAGAGGACAGACTCTGAGAAAGCCTTTGCCTAATAGGAGACTAGCCCTTTGAGGCCACTGCACAGATTGGTGAGCTCCCATTCTGGAGGAAGTACTCCAGCTTCACTTTCTTAAGGACTGATGGGAATTCTCCTCTGGGAGTCAAAGAATTGAAACTACAGCTGTGCATGGGACCAGAGGGAGTACAGGGGGCGGTATCACATCTCTTCTCATCCATAACAATCTTACCCCTATTATCTGCTGCCAGGGTGACTGCAGCAACCTCTGAGCTAGCCTCTTCTTATTTCTTCTTGCTTCCTACTATCTTTCTATTACCCTGTTGTCCCCATTCATTAAATAAACAAAAACCCATATTGTATCCCTAATTCTAATCTTTTAATGGCACACTCGATTAACCTAGTTTCCTCTTCTCAACCTTAACTTGTCCAATGGATTCTAAAACAAATAATATCCATTCATTCTCTAAAAGTAAGCAATGAGCTCTTAAACTTACAGCATTAATCATCTTTACTGAGACAACCCACCCAATAGGTTTGATGCCATATACCTTTACCCCAACAACTCAACTCCATGCATAGGTTGGTTGTCCTTCTATGAGCTAGACTCATTTTAGGCTTTCAACACAAAACCAAAGTATCTTCCACTCATTTCTTGCTTCAAGGAACTGCTATAGCATGCTTACTCTGATGCTTCAATGATATTTAAACTATTAGCTCATTTATTCAAGGTATAGCCCTAGCAGTCTAACTCAGTGTCAACAATGTTCAGGAGGCAACCCAAATCCTGAACATGAACCAGCAGAGCCTTGGGGCCAAGCACCAGCTTGCGCCTCCAGCCTCCTTAGATGCCACTCCCCTAGCTCTTAGGACTTCACAACACTGGCTTTCTTCCAGTATCTGATCAACCACATTCCCCAGCCTTTGCATAAGCAATAAGTCTAACCTAAATCCCAATTAATACAGAACTCTCCTTAAGTATAAACTCCTCAAAAACATCTCCTTAATCTCCCCTCCTAACTTAATATCCCATTGTGTCTCATCAGCCTCTCTCAGAATAGACAGCACAGCTGTCAAGTTTATATTTATTTATGTGACTGTGTGAAAAATAATGACAATGATATGCAATCATGAAGACAATAGTTCATAAAAATCACTACATATTAATTTCATTTACTGCTGTATCTCTGTTCCCATGCACTATGTGATGAACATGAAATATGAAAGGAGGAGAGAATCTTTTCACTTTGGATTCATGGTTAGATAAATTAGCAACTGAATCATGG